ACATATTTATTATATGCATGTTACACTTTATGCACAAAATTAGTTTCAAAAGGATAAAATTTAAAAATATGATAAATGATGGTATGAATTCATGAGTGGGCAAATGCATCAGTCATTCACCTCATAGCATAATCTTGTGAAAAAACACCTCATTCTATAATATGCAAGCAACAAAAATAAGTATATATGGTGGAAGGTTTGATTCATTCAAACATTTCTATGCATTAATGAAATAGAAAATTTAGCAAATATATTAAGATAGATCCATTAGAAACTATCCAAAGATGGAAATAACAATGAAATTATATAGATAATATGTTGCATGTGATACATGAACTCAAGAGCTATCATGCAAACCTAACCTACTCAATGGAAAGAAATCCAAATCCCTTATCCTCTCACCAATATTGTTTATGGTAAGGAGTACCAAACCTGTCATCATATATAATAGAGACATGCTCACTATCATTTGTACATGTGTACCAACCACGTTATCATACACTACCCTGACATTTCATCTATTACTTGATTGATCAAATCAAGTTCATGGAAAGTTTCATTATGGGAAACCCATTCCATGGTCTTGGGAATGAAAACCTAGATCCATATTCTCGTAATCATAAACACCATGCAACCTACAAAGTGATGGAGTAATCAAGAAAGAAAGTGCTATGGATTGAAAAAATTTTTTTTTTTTTTCTGTTGCATGGAATTTATGTTTATGGAGGGTGAAAATGAACAAAACTTTGGAACACTCGAGGAAATGAAATAGGCTTAATGAGACCTTTCTACCTTAGGATTTTTTCTAACATCAACCTACTCTATGCCTTTAACATCAACCTAAATAAGATCTAAAATGAAAAGGAAAAAAAATAAGAATAAGATCTCACCACATAGGGTTGCGGTTGGTCTCAATCTCTCCTAGCACCCTTGCATGAACTAAGGATTTGAGAGGGTTGATGCTATTCTTCTTTAAGCCTTCTTTAAGAAACAAAGATAGCTCTCACTCAAGCTTTGAGAGAGATTATAATAAGAGGAAGAAACTGTTATGAAAAACGACGACAATAAAATGAAAAATGGAATGAGAAAAATTAATGGAATTGGAATGAGAAAAATTGCACGCAGAAAAAAAAAACACCAGAGCGACACACAGATTTACGTGATTCGGCAAATTTGTCTACGTCCACAGAGCTGCGGATTTATTTCTTTGAGGAATCACACCGTCGAGCGTCTCGACATTTACAAGAAAATCTTTATTTTCTTCTCTCCCTTCCTCTCTCTCTCTCTCTCTTCCTCTCTTTCTCTTAGCTCTCAAGATGAATTCGATTGGTCTTGCTTGACTTGCATTTCCTTTAAACCAAAAGAGACTATTTATGGAAAACATGAGAGCGTTAGGTGGGAGGTAGGTGAGCGGCATGTGGGATATGGTAGGTAAGCGGTAGATAGCGGTAGGTGGGAGGTAGGTGAGCGGTAAGTGACATACTTAATTAAGAAGATAATTAAATTGGGTGGATCGGGTCTCCACATTACCCAACAATTCTCCCACTTGGAGACTGGGACACAGAATGCATCACCTATTAGCTGAATCATCTACTAGTTGTACCGACATTTTCCTCAAACATGATATCTTCCACCTCTACAACTTAAAGCATTTATCTTCATGTCAGAAGACCAGCTGAAGTTGAGCACAACTTTAGCTTCTCACGAGTAACACCCTCAGTTGACATATCACCGCCAACGTAACCTAGTACCACCAAGCTCTTTCCTGGGTTACTTTTGTATCTGCTTACAACTCCCACTGCATGAGCAATATCCTGCCCCTGTTGAAAGCCCTTTTCAACAAGTTCAACATTGTACCTCTTACTGTCATCAAGTGTAGTCTTCACTCGGTACACCCACTTGTTGTGCAATGTCTTCTTTCTTGATAGAAGTTCTGCCAACTCCCAAGTCAGATTCCCTGGCAGGGAATTCGTCTCCTCCTTGGTCAACTCCCACTTGCTCGAATTATCATCTTGCAAGATTTCTTCATAATTCTGTGGTTCTCCATCATTTGTCTGTACAAAGTCTGGTTTTCCTGCCTTTGGCGCTCTGCCACTTTTTAGAAAATGAATCCCCATAATGCATCCCATAATGCATCTCTGACTCATGTGTTCACGCCTGAGTAAACCTGTAGTCATATATAGTGTGTCAATTTTCTTACCCCGAGCTAGTACTAATGCTCTTTTGATAACTTTTCAGGTGCTATCTGAGAACATCACCGAATGACCACCCTCATTGAGTTGTCCAATAGAGATGAGATTTTTCTTCAACTCAAGAACGTGTCTGACCTTTTACAAAGTTTATTTGTTATTGTTAGGGAGTGCAATATCAACATCTCTCATCTCCACCACGTCCATAGCTTTTCCATCAGCCAGATGTACCTTCCCAAAGTTACCTGCAACATAATTTCACATTAACTCCCGACGGGAAGATGTATGGAAGAAAGCCCCTGAATCCAGTATCCAGTCATCAACAGAACTGTAAACTGCTAGAAATAGTACATCATGTATTCCTTCAAATACAACATTAGCGTCATTATTCTCCTTCTTCTTAGGATTCCTGCAGATCTTTTTTATGTTGTCAGCTTTGCCACAATTCCAGCATGTTGTCTGCTGACCATACTTTGATTTTGATCTTCCTCTGTTTGAGTTCATGTCATGTGATCTCCCTCTGGAATCAACATTCAGCGCCGAACTTGAACACGAGGCCTCACCAGAATCCTTCCTGCGCACCTCCTTAGTCAAAATCAAATCACAAATATCATCATATTTCAGCTTGGATTTACCTGCAGAACTGCTAACTGCCATCCTCATGACTTCCCAGCTATTTGGCAATGAAGCCAACAATATTAGTGCACGTATTTCATCATCAAAATCAATTTCAACAGACGACAATTGATTTGTGATAGTATTGAAATCATTCAAGTGTTGAGCAACAGAGACACATTCCACCATCTTCAAGTTGAATAACTTTTTCATCAAATGCACATTGTTATTCGCCGATGACTTTTCATACATACCTGATAAAGCTGTCATGAGATCTGCAGTAGTCTTCTCCTTGATGACGTTGTGGGCAACCAATCTCGACAGGGTTAATCGTATAACCCCCAGAACCTGTCGATCCAACAGATTCCATTCCACCTCGTCAATCTTTTCTGGTTGCTTTCCCAGTAACGAAAGATAAAGTTTCTTCTCATAGAGGTAGTCTTCTATCTGCATCCTCCAGTAAGTAAAATCTGTGTCATTGAACTTCTCGATCCCCGATGTCATCACTTCTTCTCTGTCCATCGTTCTTCCTTCGATCCGAACCAAATCTCTGATACCAGTTATTGTGAAAAACGACGACAATAAAGCGAAAAATGGAATGAGAAAAATTGCACGCATAAAAAAAAAACACCAGAGCGACACAGATTTACGTGGTTCGACAAATTTGCCTACGTCCACGGAGCTGCAGAGTATTTATTTTTTCGAGGAATCACACCGTCGAGCGCCTCGACATTTACAAGAAAATCTCTATTTTCTTCTCTTCCTTCCTCTCTCTCTCTTTTCCTCTTTTTCTCTTAGCTCTCAAGATGACTTGGTTTGGTCTTGCTTGACTTGTATTTCCTTTAAATCAAACGAGACTATTTATAGAAACCATGAGAGCGGTAGGTGGGAGGTAGGTGAGCTGTAGGTGGAATGTGATAGGTGAGTGGTAGGTGAGTGTGGTAGGTGAGCGGTAGGTGACATACTTAATTAAGAAGCTAATTAAATTCGGTGGACCGGGTCTCCACATTACCCAACAGAAACCTTCTTCAAAACTTCTCTCTCACACATATAGAAGAAATGAGAGAGGCCCTCTTTTTAGCCAGAATAATTGGAAGAAGAGGAAGTAAAAGGGAAGGATGAGAGGAGCCTTTCTCTAAAATTTATAAAAACAGTAGTAGTTTGCTTAGTGCTTTTTTTTATCGAAGTCAAGTGAAAGCAAGATAACGATCTATGAGACCTTTATCCTTAATTTGAAATATAATTTAGTCCTGCCAAATGTTCTTACTTCAAACTTATTTGTTAGACTAAACTTGGGGGAACTATCCCCGCGCCTATTGGACCATTCTCCTCTCTTGCCTACCAAAATTATAGTTAAATATGGGTTGAAATAGTTAAAATTGGCTCCAACTTGAGACCGTAGTTCGACATGGAATCTGGTCATTTATGCTAGCCTGGATGCAGATAGGGAGACACAAGTGGGTAAGGTGCACGGGCAGTGTGTATGGTCACACATGAGCCTAGAGTTGTTGGGTGTGCACGGGCATTGTTGTGCACTTACTAGTGATGTAGTTTCTGGCTAGCCCAAGTGCCCAGTACCATCTCAAAAAATATTGTTATGGCATAATTTCTTTCACCCATGGAAAGCTCTTATGAATTTGTGGTCTATGATGAGCTATATAACGATGGAAAAGAGTATGAAAATATTTGAATTATTATCCGACATATTATGAATCAAAATTGATGCCAATAACTAGATTGTAAGTTTGATTTAGTAGCTTTAATTGCATATAATAAAAATTTATCATTCAAGTTTCTTTATATTAAATTTCTTTAATTTAAGGAATATAACTGACACGCCTTTCTATTTTATTACTTAAGAAAATGTTTGGGCCATTAATGCTCAATGAGTGAACATGGATTCAGCCTCAAGTTGTTAAATTGAAGAAAAATATGATTTTATGATTTATGAAAATGTAAGCAAGATGATTTAGGAAGGCAGTTCCATAAAATGTTTATTAGGTTATTTGTACCTTCCCAACATATCTTATTATCACTTATTGCTCCTTTGGGTCCATTCCTTCTATTAATTGATTGGCAATTCAAACTTGTTATTATATGTTCTATATGAAGTGATAATGTTATCTCTTTGTTCCAGTCCTCCCTGACTTGTATCCAAAATAACTTAAATGCACAGTACGTTCTATTATGATAATAAACTTTTTTTTAATAAGAACTAAACCATCTCAATGGGCGACATATGATTGCACTGATATTATACATAAAATTGTATCAAGAGCCAAACCTGGTAATGAGCCAGTAACCAAACACCAATAGATCTTCAACTAATGACCTGCTGCATCATCCTGGCCATCAAATTTTGAACGGCCAACAAACGGCTCACTGAAACATTTCTCTTCCGAATGTTTTCACATCTAGTGAGTCAATTTCCTACTTCACAACCAACTTGAATCAAAGTTTGCTCATTTCACTCGCAGCTGCACTGTACTTGTCTTTAAGATAAGCTTTGATGAAAGAATCCAAATCTCCATCCATTACAGAAGTGATATCAGAAGTCTCGATCCCAGTCCTCACATCTTTCACAAGCTTGTATGGGTGAAACACATAGTTTCTTATCTGCTGCCCCCATTCAGCCTTCACTGCATCCCCTCTTATCTGCTTCAGCTCAGCAGCTCGTTGTTCTTCGGCTATGACAAGCAACTTTGTCTTCAGACGACTGAGCGCCTTGATCTTATTAGCCAGCTGAGATCTCTCCTCAGTGCAGCGTACTGTAACACCACTTGGAATGTGAACAATCCGTACAGCAGTTTCGACCTTATTGACATTCTGGCCTCCTTTTCCACCTGCTCGAGAGAAACTTATTTCCAAGTCTTCTTCTGGTATGTCAAGGTTTATGGATTCTTCACGCAGAAGAGGCATGACCTCCACACCAGCAAAGCTTGTCTGGCGAAGACCTTTAGCATTAAAGGGAGACTGCCGAACAATTCGGTGTGTTCCTTTCTCCCCAGAGAGGTATCCATAAGCAAAGCGCCCTTCAATTTCAATTGTGGCTGACTTGATCCCAGCTTCCTCTCCCCAAGATTTCTCAACTACTCTACTTTTGTAACCCTTTTTCTCCCCCCATCTTGCATACATTCTTAACAACATATCAGCCCAATCCTGAGCATCTGTGCCCCCAGCACCGGCAGTAATAGCAATTATAGCTCCCTCCTTGTCATAAGGACCGGATAGAAGCTGTGTCAACTCGAAATGATCCATGTCCTTGTTTAAATCTCTAACTATTTTAGAAGCTTCTTCAAGCAGTCCAGTATCAATGGAATCCAACTCCTCAGTCAGTTTAACTATTGTTTCAGCTTCCTCCACCTGAGATTTGAATTCGTTGACCTGTTTGATTTTATCCTTTACATCAGTCAATGCAAGAAGTATTTCCTGAGCTTTATGACGATCATCCCACAGAGAACTATCAGCAGCCTTCCTCTCCAGAACACCTAAATCTGCTTCTAGCCGTTCCAGACCTGTAGCAATCCTTACTTCCTCAACACGCGCTGCAGCAGCTTGAACGTCCTTCCTCAAGCCATAAAAATCTTGCATAGCCCATTCAGAGCTTTCGGAACTAGCAATATTAGATTGGCTCCCGACTGTTGCATTTTGAGCCTTCAGCAAACGAGGGGATAAACGTAGAGGATTCGTGTGGGAGGAAACGGTAAGGGCAAGATGGGCTCGGATTCTGGCTCGGACGGAGCGGCTAGTGTTGTACAGCCGCGAGAACCTGATGCTAGAGCATGGTAAGGAGATGCGGAGCGAGTCAAGCGGCGGCGAGAGTGTCCGGTGCGGCCACTCCATGGAAAGCCCTAGATAGCGGATGAACGACGAAGCTTCTCCGAGCAGAGCAGGCCTTCAATCTTAAAGAGAGAAGAAGTGTAAAAATAGACCCAACTATTTACATGAGATAATTTTAAATCTAAATTTTATATAAAAAAAATAACATAATCTCTACTCCATAAATTTGGGTTGAAATAGTCTAAATGGCGGATTATTAGAGCTCAATTTTAAAATAGTTGGGGACTATTTTGACTCTTCTATGAAGTTTGGGCCTAGAATGACATAATGACTATTTTGGCACTTTGCTCGAAAATAAAATTTGAAATATAATTTTCTTTGATATTAACCCTAATAAATTTAAACAATAAACATGCATTCCATAATTAAGAGTATATCTCCATGGTTTCATTGAGTTTTCATAGAGATACACATTATTTTGGGAGATTGATCAATCCAAATTCTTCACTTGAGCTAATTGAGATTGACTTAACATTGGTGATATAGCTTCTCATGCATAACTTAAATGAGTCAAGATTTTTTGTTTTACTTCAATGAAACTCTTTTCTTGTCTCTTATTATAGAATATCCTATATGAGAACAACACCTTTTATTATCACACCTTTTTTTATTAAAAAATGTTGTGGGGATTCCAATCTTTCATCTTTCTCCTTCCTTGTGGCATGCTCCTTCCTTGTGGCATGTTTTTTTTTTTGGTTAGTTTGGATCATACTCCAAAAACTCAATCATTTATTTTAAGTCATAACTTCATTACTTGAAATTAGTTCTTATTCTATATGTTGGTTCTTTCATATATAGTGGTTGAATTTAGTCTACACATTCTTCAAAACTTTTCATTCCCTTCAATCACATATAAGTAAATTAATGTTTCATTTATGCACCTTTGTGTGTTTAATTTTAGTCTTTACTCCTTTAGTTTATAGCTTATTTATTTTAGATTTTTAAATCTTTTGATAAATAAATATTTTCTTTATTGATGATCAATAAGAGAATTATGATCATTTCCCCCAATATGGAAATATTACTTTTTTCTTATGCTACTTTCCTGTTGATTTTATTTATTATATATTTGTGATTAGTATATCCACACTAAGGTTATCTCAAGTAATCCTATGCTAATTAAGTCCCCCTTTTGCCCTCTTTAAAGAAAATAAATAAAATAGAGGTGCTCCCACACTTATTTCAGTTTTGATTATTATAGTTCCAATAGTCACAATGAGCTAGCTTAGAAAAAGAGGATGATATCGTGAAATCCTAAATTGTTCTAGACCGTCTAACTAGTAGACCTTGTATGTTCTTACAATCTTATGATGTTGATCCAAAGAGCTTTTTTAGGTAAGCTCTCTTATACGAGAGTTGATTATTCTATGTTCTCACTTCATGGGCACACTTCATTATTACATACGTTCTCTACCGCCGCAAATTTTCTAGCACGCATCAATATGTATGTATGCATGTACATATGTATATATGTATATCTACATGTATACATATATATGTATGTATATATATATCTATGTATACATATATATATATACACACGCACTCATACATACATACGTATACATATATACACACACACACACACACACACACACACACACACACACACACACACACACACACACATATATATATAAAAACCCAAAAGGTTATTTTCTACATCAATTAATTGTGCTAAAAAAGGGTTAAATTTTGAAATTTATGAAAGGTTCAAACGCTTTTAAGGATTTAAAAATCATAATAATAATTCGAAGTAAAAAACATTAATTAATAATACCTTTATTTTCAAATCAAAACTAAAACTCTCTTTTCAAAGCCCAAGGTTTAAATAATAACATCTATTTTAAAACTAAAGTAATAACCCCGTTTTAAATGCACTTAACAAAAAAATAAAAATATTTTTTTGTTAATAATTGATCAAGTTATAACCTTTAAAAAAAACCTCTTTAAAATTGTAAAATTCTTAAACCTCTTTAGAACCTTAAAATCCTCAACCCATAATCTTTTTCAAAATTTAAGCAAAACTTATCTTCTAATAAATTCAATTGAATTCTAAATTAATAAACATAATATTTGAAAGATTTGTCAGACATAAAAGTTCTTTAAGAGATTTAAATTATTTCTAAGCTTTAAATTTTTAAAACTCAAATAACTCTAAACTTTCAAAACCTAAAATTTAGAAGAAAGAAACATTTTTAATAAAAGCTCAGAACTTTAAAATTCTCAACCTAATAAAACCAAACTTAAAATTTAAACTTCTAGACTTAAAAGTAAAAATTTTAAAACCAATCTTAACCTTAAGCTTGTAATTAACGTAAATAAACTCTAACCTAAAACTTCACCTTAAACGTTCATGAAAATTTTTTGATGAACAAACTTAAATAAAATCTAAGAAATCAACCTTAAAATCCTTCAAAGAGAAAACTTTTCAAAATCATAAATATCATCTCTTTTAAGCTTATCAATTAGGAATATTAGGACTACATAAGCTTTGTAGGCCCTCTTGAATAGCTTAGTCTAAGCAAGACTTACATGTTTATAGCTATGGCTTTAAGAATGAACTTGTTTCTTTACAGGAGCATGTGATTCATAAACTTAGCCGTGAAGCACAAGGTCTTGTTGTATTTCAAATATACATAATTCATATGTAAGTAAGTGTACATCATTCACACTCTTTACATGATAATTTTTTTTATAAAATATCTTCTGTTGTGTGTAAGAGAAAATAGATTTCATAAGCATGTAAATGAACCTTAGATATGAAGAGTATAAACATGAAATGTTTGAATTAAACTATCTGACATATCAAAATCAAGCATATAATAGGAAACAAAACACTACAGGTCAACCTAGGAGAAGAGAAACAAACAAAGAACATCAACTTACGTTAGAAAATTGATCTTGAACTTAGAAGAAAATCCTGTTTTATAATATAACTTGATAAACTAGGAATATTGAAACTTTGAACTTAGAACAACCATGATTTTCATCATACCTAGGAATCAAAAAGTCATGAGTTACATATTAAACCCCAAAAATTATTAAAATTTACCAACTCTAAATTTTAACAACCAACACATAGATAGATCCAAACTGTGAACTCTAGGTTAGCCAACGTAGAAGTAAAACTCAGGACCACACACACCCTAAAATAGTAAGTCTAGAATCCTAGGATAGTTATTAGGTAGTCAATAAATAGTACTAAGGATTATAACCTATAAACCCATAATTTCTGACAAATATATCTTAAATCATTTAAGAGTAGGTGATTATAATGGTAACAAGATAGACCTCCTATTATTTAGTTGGTTAATAGTCTTAGGATCCTAATGCAGCTGGAATGATAGAAAGTCATGAGTATTTTGACAAAGGATGTTATTCCAAAAATTTAGTTTAGCCAGCCTATTTAGCCTCTTTTTTAGAGTTATTTTAAGTTAAGTCTTCGCCTCCATCTAGAAATCCCAGACCCTTTCCTACCCCTAGTCTAAGGTAGATTCCAAACTCAAATTTAAGCTCAAGTCTAAATCTAAACTAAGCCGCAAATCCAATTTCCTCAAATCCAAATTCCAAATCCAAATTCCAAATTAAACTCAATCCCATATCAAACTCAACTCAATACTAATTTCAAATTCAGATCCAATTTACTTAAATATAATTCAAACCCAATTTCAAAGATCAATTACAATTTGAGTTGCCCATGTCTTTAACTCAAATCCAAACTCTAATTCAAATATAAACCCCAAATCTGATTTTCAATCTTTGTTTCACCTAAACCTTAGAATTTCATGATCTTAAGACTCGGACTAAAATTTTAAACTTGGACACAAATTTAAGTAACCTAATCAAATTTCATTCAACTTTATTAAATACAATAAAATTTAATTAAATTTAGCTAAATAAAAAGTAATTAAATCTCATAAATTTCAATTAAATTTAACTTAAACCAACTCCACTAAACTTTAACTAGAGTTAGCAAACTTAAATGGATTTTAATAAATTTTATCCAACTTCAACAATATTTTATAAAATTTAGTAAGATTTAAAGAACTTGAATAAATTGTACTAAACTTACATGAACTTTAATAAACTTTATAAAGTTAAAAAAATTCAATAAATAAACTTTAATGAACTTTAATAAACCTTAATAAATTTCATTAAACTTAAATTTAACAAACCTTAATAAATCTTAAATCAACCTTAACAAGCATTCATAAACCATAAATTTTTAAACAAACTCAAATAAATTCCAATAGTGAACTTGATAATCCTAAAACAAAGATTAATAATATTCAAATAAACTTAAAACAATCTTAAAATAAACTTTGAAATAAACCTAAAACAAGCCTAATAATTTTTAACCAACAACAACACAACAATCAATCTCAAAGAACTTCAATAAAAAAATTTTAGACAAACATTACAAATAAATTTAGACATATTCTCAACAAATAAATTTTAAAATAAACTTAAATCAATAAAAAAAAACAAAACAACTCAAAACAAATCTTCAAATAATGTTAAACTCAACCAATGTAAGTTCTCAACTTTAGTTAATCAACTCTGATTAAGCCCATTCAAATCTTCTAATTCCACTCAAAATCATTTCATAATGCCCAAATCTATCAATTTGAGTCTTCGCTATCAATCGTCTCACGACACTTAATTTTGAACATGGACAATATAAGTCAAAACCTTAACTAAAAGTATTTTCGGGAGCTAGAACTCTCAGGATGTAATTAACTATGAGGGCATCCCATCACAGCGATACCAGACCTTAGAATAAAATAAATCTTATCTTAAACCAGTAAGGTAAGAGACTATTCTAGTTTCTTAGACCGATAAATTATGGAGATTTTCATCATCCGGGTGATTAAATCCATTATAAGATAATATGTCTATCCTTTGGGGGTAGTATATTATTCTTCGAATGCCCTATCTAATCATTTAAATAGAAATATTTCAAGATCTATGACGGATACGTAATAAAAAACCCACCAAGGAGGTGGAGGTAATAGCTTCTTTACAAAGGCTGGAAGGAAGAATAGAAAACCATCTCTTCAAGAAAGTGCTTATCACATTC